AAATTAGCGTTAGATAATTCAACTGTACCAAGGAGGGCACGTGGAAAATTTAGAAATGAAACTTATTCAGAAATTCATCACTGTGTGTTATGATCCATAGTGTAATGCGGAAATTATTTGTTTAAGAATCTCGGGCATAGGCCAAATGATGATAATGATGATGATGATGATGATGATGATGATGATGATCGTTGCAAGTGCGATGATGGTGATGATGATGATGATGATGATGATGATGGTGATGGTGATGGTGATGGTGATGGTGATGGTGATGGTGATGGTGATGGTGATGGTGATGGTGATGGTGATGATGATGATGGTGATGGTGATGGTGATGGTGATGATGATAATGATGACATTGATAATGATCAAAAATCAGATCAACCATCACTTAACTAAATGTTACGTTTGGGTTACCTTGTCTGTATGCAGTTTCTCTGAGCTCCAAAAGAACTCTTTTGGCAGCCTCCTGGACAGCTTGGTTCGCACTTTTGCTTGTGCGCGATAGCTCTTCCATTGCGCTCGCGCTTTCTTTTATTTTGGCTTTCCCTTTGGAATTCTTTGCAATGATCCACAATGAGTTTGCAGCACATTCCTTTTCAATGATTCCGCCTTTACCAATGAGCGAAACTAGCAGTGCAACAACGTCTCGGTCCAGCATAGTCTCCAGGTTCCTTTCATTGAAAAGCAAATTACCCAGGCCAACAGCAATTTCCTGAGCTGACCAACTCGAACCTTCTGATCTACCGCGCAGGTCTGGCTGATCTAAGGCATTGCGCAACATACCAAGAATATAGCTTAATACCTGAAATAACAAACACAGGCGTTTCTTATTAAATTGCATTTAATTATAAGCATCTTCGCCAGCAATTCCAAAAAAACAACCAAGAACGTAGGCGACCGTTTCTAATGAATGCTACTGATTTCTTTTAATATTCCGTTATTGCTGAAATCAGAAAAAAAAGAATAACCATTTCAGGGTGCAAAGAAAGTCATTTTTACGGCTTGCCATTCGGGCAAGCTGAAGCTAACATTTACTAGCCCAAACATCATTTCAACTAGCCCCGAAAACGTTCGATGAGCAGATTGATTCCACAGTTCTTCTGTAATTTGAATTCCTCAAAAAAACTTCACTTGCCCGAAGGGCAAGTTATTATAACAGAATTCACTAGCCCGATAGCAAAATCCACCAGCCCCGGGCTATCGGACACTACTTTCTTTGCACGCTGCATTTACAAATTTAATACCATTTTTACATTACACTGCAATATTTTGTTTTCTACTGTTAGTGGAAATAAAAGGACATACCCTACTTTCTGCTTCTAATAGCTTCTTCTGTTCATCAGAAGCTATATATGAAAGCGTCAAAGTGGCCACTACAACGACTCCCATATCATCTGCCTTAAGGAATGGTGCAATTCTCTCTAGTGCACGAAGTTCACAGAGAATCTGGCGATTCTCTGAAGCCTTGGCACAGTTGTGCAGGATGTTGATGGCGGAACAAATGAGATCTTTTCTTTTCTGTTCGATGAAAAACGAGCAATTAATCAATTTATTTCCTTATTTGTTTTAAAGAAGAAAAATCGAATTTACTTATCCTTCCCTTAATTTACTTATTTCCTATCGATTAACTACCTGCAAACATTTTTTACATCCCATAAAAGCATCTTGAAGTTAGACTCGATGACGCAAGATAGCGGCGCTAATCAAGCCTACCCTTAAGTATGACGTCATAAAAACTAAATTAGTGAAATTATGGGATATTTGTAGGGATATTCTGAAAGAACAACATCAAAAATGCGTACTTGCCAAAAACTAGCATTTTGGAACAAACTTTCTGTGATACATTAGCCCTATTATGTTCTGATGACTCCACACAAATCCTTCTGAATTTGACTCTGTTCATAACGTTACGAACAAAAGCCCGAACTTGAATTTAAAAATCATACTTTGGGAATCACTTTTGAAATCATAGTTTTATCGGAAAGTAAACGTTGAAGGTAGAGTTCATTTGTTTCTAGGCACAATTTTCGAAACGCAATCTAAATGACTTTGCCAATTTTTAAAGGTTTCCTCTGTGACACAAAAAAACCTTGTCAATGAAAAGCTTAATCTTCTCATTTAGAAACATGACAAATTCTGGACTCGCCTCATTTTTAAAACTCCTGGCACCATAAGTGTCGAGATCATTTAATACAATCTTCAACAAGCCACTTCGACCAAGCCCTCTAGCCATTCTTAAACTGGCATCTGAGTAGTTCCAGAATACGCTACGAACCACCAACATCCCAAGCCAGCCATTCTTGGTCTCCATACCCATGTCCATTAAGCGTTGTAGAAGTTTCGTCAGATGCAATGGAGCATTAATTTCAGCCAAATGATCACCATACTTTTGTCGGAGTTCCCGATCATCTGTTTCTTCATAGGGTTGTAGAATGTCTTTGGCCACTTTTTCCACTACGGCCAGAATATCTTCGTATGACCCTTCTTTTAAGATGTTTATGGTGTTGTTCATTCGAACCATCACTGAAACAGCATCTACTTGGTCTTGGTTGCTTGTTTGTGTTTCCGCTGTACCACCTGAAAGATAAAGAGCGGTGCTAAAGGTCACGGAAAAACGGGCAACAAAAAACGTGCAACTTGTCTTGCAGCATTGCTGCAGAACGAGTTGAATAGCGATGTTGCGCGTTTTACCACCCACATCAAACCTGTGTTACAAACAATCTGGTTCTTAACAGGTCTGAGCGGGTGGTAGCAGCCCAACATTACTTTTCAATTCGTTTAACAGCAATGTTGCAAGACAAGTTGCATTTTTTTTGTTGCCCGTTTTTCGGAACCTTATAGCGAAGAGCGCCAGCGGAGCACCATGGGTAAGAAAATGAAGTAATCTACCTATCCGAGAAAATTTGGTAATCACGTGACCGTACACCAAGAGACCGTCCGTCCGCACCACAGGCATACCAATGTGAAATAACTCAATCAACAGGTATGGTAACCCAAATGCAACTCGAGGTTATTCTGGCGGGAAATCGCATAGCCACCGGCGTCTTGTAAACCAGCAGAGACAACAAAAGAGTCATAAAAAAACGAAAACGGAAAGCGGAAATTGTTTCTGTATCCGTGTTGTCTAAAGTATTAAGCTTACATAAATTGTCATGTCCACAAATTTGGAATATAGAGCAAGAGAAAGAAAAAAAAATGGGCGGCAGGCCAGCGAAGCTCAACGAGAAAAAGGGCGAAAGGGATTTAGAGCGAGAGATAAAAACAAAGGAGACATTTTTTTGTTGGAAGAACGACATGAAAATTTTGTAGCGGCGGTGACGAAATGAGAAGTACTAGAGGCCACCAATGCAAGGTGAAAATGAGCGGCAGTTTGCTAAGATGCGTAAGCATGGCGATCCAGGAATTTTTGTACCGTGGGGATCCAACTTGACCACACTATTAATTGAACCCGATAATTTATGTCCTTCGACGCCTTTACACATTAGTTTCTACAACGCAGACGTTTGCTTTCATGCGCAGTACGCGTGATACTCTACTTCTACTAGTTAAAATTCTTTGATGGTATTCTAGTACTTCATAAACGAATTGTAACGAAATCTGGACATCAAGCTCCATGGTCAATAGATAAAGTAAAACGCAAGTGTTATTATTAAGTAACCCTATGATGGTTTTCAGGAAGCAACTCTTCGGGGGGTAGTTATTTCAGTTTTTATTTTAATGTACTTAGTTTATCAAGCACTTTAAATAATACTCAGACCGGGATCTAGACCCCATCGACCCTTTCTCTATCCTAGATCCACCATTGGTTATTAACAGTGACAGCGTATTTGCATACCAGTTATAGTCACTTCCTCTGTCTGGCCAAACACATCTACTACTCCGTAAAGTACAGGAGGGATAGTTTTTATGCGCTTTCCAACATCCACTCCGTTAATGAAAAAATGTAAGGTGTCGTCCGACTTTCTCATGACCCCCACGCGGTCACCTACCTGTTAATGAAAACAAACTTTCAAAATCAACACAAGGAAAGAGCTGCATCATCACATCCAACTTACATCAAAAAGGACAACACTGACTCATGTAAGGGAATCTGGATTCCGGGAATCCGGGAAATTTTTGCTTCTGAAATCCGGAATCCTTGGCTTTGGAATCCGGGATGCAGCATGCAGCTCAAGGAATCCAGATTCCAGAATTTAAGTTCAACTGACATAGACTGAAATCCAGTACCTGGACTGATCCGGAATCCACAGCGTGGTATTCAGAATCCAAGACTATCTTGGACTGCCTTACGGGGGGCGGGGGGGGGGACAGGCGAGTCATAGCATCTTGGCTTTTATTCCTTTAGGAAATAGTGGAATGTGGGTTTAGTTTGCAAAATAGCGATGCAGAGCTAAAAAAAAGGGGGGAGTACCGAGGAATGAAGGTTCAGGATATGAACCCAAATTCAGGAGAGCACAGGCTTGTTGGAGTGAGATGAAACAGAGGTTTGACTGTCTCTAACGAGGTGTGATTTGTTCCTAACATAAGAGACCTCCTCGGCTCTCTTTCGATTTTTAATCACTAAACCCTTCACGCACAAGATAAGATACAAGCTGATAACAAATTCATCGGAGGAAGCCACAGATTAAATACAATGTGAAAGCACAAGTCTATGATAAGACTATTGCAGCACAAATTTAGTTTTTAGAAGGGTAAATGTAACAACATTACAAGTTTTACCAGCTTCTGTCTTCTTACAGCCTTAAAATATGTTACTTTAACTACTCACCTGACCCACCAGAATACACTGATTGTTAATCGTTTGCCAGTGTTTTCTGGCTAGATGATATCACTAGAGCTACCCTTAAAAGGACCTACCGACAAATTGTCCAAGTTCTTAGATACCGTGGTCATTTCTTTGCCATTATTGACGATTTTATCAGAAGTGAGTGCAAAAGTCGTTCCTTGTGAGCAGGAAGTTATTGTTGAAGGGAACTGCAACTGATCAGCAGGAACAGTTGTGGCACCAATGTCCAGGGATCCAAACCACTTGGGCACTTTACTGTCCAAACGAACCTCAAACAATTCATCATCCTGCAGAGGCTGGCTTGTCACTACAACTCCTTGATTGAAACACTGAAGAGCACTGTTTATCAAAACAAACAGCATTTTAAAGCAGCTTTAGCCATGCACAAGCAAAAAAGACGCATTAAGAAGGGGAGAAATATTTCTCACATAACCCAAATAGGGTTCTTCAATCCCGTTATCCCGACCCGAAATTTCGTGCAATCCCATCATCCCCAGAGTTCCTTTTGGCATCCCACCTCCTGTGCTTACTTTCAATTCCGAATCTCATCCCGATAATAATAATAGTAATGATTAATAATAAATTATTTATTAGGCGCAAAATAGCATTCAAATATATAATGTAATGCGCATTTAAAATCCCGAGTCCCGAGTCTCAAATAATTAAAGGTAAATCGTATCCCGAAATACCTAGTATTGGGGATCCTCAGTTAAGCCCTCAGAAACATCTGCAGTCACTTTTGGACAAATTCATTGCATTCACATCAAACTTTTAAGGCGGAAAAACTTTGTTTGTTTTTTTTTTTGGTTTTTTTTTCCAATACTTAAATAAGTGGGAAAAAGTTTTCGACTTGGGTCAGTAGGTTATTGTCCTTATAGCGCCATTAAAATAAAACTGATAGATGAGAGTCCTACTGATACTAAAACCTATATGGGTTAAATTGATAAACCAATGGTCTAATCAAAGAAGCAAATGCAAAAGCATCATGATCAGTGAAAACAGTTTTGCAGTTGACGTTTCATCAAGAGGTTCATTTCTTACTCGATTCTTTTTGCCTTCTTTCCGGCACACATCACAGCAATATTGGCCCCACAGGTGTGGCTAAACTTGTATGACTCCGAGGATTTCACAGGGTCAGCAGAGTTTGTTGCGACCTGGCCAGGGGATGAGGTGTTCGGAGACTGAGGAGGTGATGTAGAACTGGGTGATTTTGGCGGAGGTCTCACTGTGGTGGAATAAGCTGAGGAAGTCGACTTCTTTTTAGAGGCTTCCAGCTTAGCTAGCAAATTATCTTTGAAAACATAAAAAATGAAAAGTAATGATGATGATGATGATGATGATGATGATGATGATGATGATGATGATGATAACTTTTACTTGTAACTTTTATTGTAGTCTTAAACGGTTTTAACCTTGTGCACGTTTTCTTTTTATATATACATTTTTTTTTTTTTTATTTATTAGATTTTTAATTTTTTTTGCCAGCAGGACCCCGTTGATAACAGTACTTGGTAGGTATTTAAGGAGTGACTTAAAGATTGCGAAACGATCAGTGTGAAGAGTAGCCTCGACAACACAAAAGCTGTGGTCGTCAAGAACCGTAAAAGAATTTTTTAAAATAAATCAAGATAGTGTAAAGCTTGAGATAAAGTCTGGATGACCAATAATAGAGTTCTAAAGTGATGACGTCATGAAAATTAAATTTCTGAAATTTTGGGATTTGTCAGGATATTCAAGAAAAACAACGTCCAAGAGGCCCCCTTAACAAAAATAAGCATTTCGGGGCAACTGTCTCTGAGATATTAGCCCAGTTATGTTCTGATAACTCCGCATAAATCCTTCTAAATTTGACTTGGGTCCAGCTATTGTCTACAATACACCGAATAGCGCATGCGCCGGTACAAAAACCATATAACAACCGGCGGTTTTTGCAAAAGAGGGAGGCTGCGCTGCGCAGATCGTGAAAGTGGATTGTCACATATTGGACGGTTTTCTGCTACTTTTTGTGGCAGTGTGATCTGGTATTGGAACCGTGGCAATGATTCGGAGCGACGAATGGAACCGAAAAAAAGCGTTAGTAAATATCTAGGTTTGAGGATTAGGATTTGGTGCACTAGAGCTACTTAGTACCGCTCCGGTACGACGTTTGATGAGTGTGTTTCAGTTCTAGACCGTTGTGTTCCTACCAGGCCAGATTATGTTGACATGAAAAGCTATCCGTCATACTGTAGATACAGCGTTCGTTTTAACTTGTATTTGGATATATTTGGCATAGTTTTTACGAAGTCTCCTGATACAGGGTCAACTCTCGTCTTGCGGGCACCGCGCTATAACAGATACCCCGATAATACGGACAGCAGCTAAATATAAGTCTCCGGCAAAAACAAATTACAGACGTTTAACTGAAATAAAATCCGGCTACAGACTATCGCTAATGAGGGTACCAACTCACTTAAGTTTGAGGACAAGTATTCTACAAGAACAAAAACATTATTTATACCGCTTACCAGAACCCAGAACTGAAGCAATTAAAACAACATTCTTCTATTCCTCCATAAAATGCTCTAGAACCAACCACCTCCTTTAGCTTGACGAAGACTACACCGTATAATAACACCGGCTCGAAATATACAGTGGATGATTTTAAAGTTAAAAGTTATTCTGATCCTTAAGAAAATTCGTAGTTTTTAAATACCGTTGCAAATGGATTCTCCTTTTTACTAATTTATTCACATTCGTTTTTTAACATTTCTTGAGTTTTCAATGTTTAAGATTTTCAAAAATTTTTAAAGATCTTTTAAAGCATTCTGTGGCAATGAAACGACAACGATCTTGCAGCTCATGAGAGTGGTCACAAGTTATAGATTTAATTTACATTTACTTTTTTCAACAACTAACCCACCTCCACGTCCAAGATACTTCATTTTGATGTCACAGTTGCCGTACACAGCACTTGCACATGGGCAAAGAGGTATCAGAGGGTTACGGGGTAAATTACTGAAGGCAACTCCCAGGTGTGTTTCCTCTGTAGCAAAGCTTAGAATGCAAAGAATAATACAACATCAGTTTCAGAATGCGAAACTGCAGTAATGATGTCCTTCTAATCTTGGTCAACTGGCAGGTGTACTTACACGTGGAATCATGGGGTGAAACGACATCTTATTCAAAATTTTGAGTCAGTAACAACCTAGCCCAGTTCTCTCGAAAGATGTTAAGTCTCTGTGTCCTCTCCACTTAAGGGACGTTTCAAGAATAATTAAAAGGCATCCAATTACACATTAACAGGGGAAGAATCCCGACTATTTTGCAAGGGCGGGCAAGGATTTGAAGTCGGAAATACCGAGAAACAAAATCCAGCTTGAGGCAAGAGCGGGAGTTGAACTCGAGTCCTCCCTGGTTGCAAGTCCATCGATCTAACCGCAATGCAATGTAAATCATGAAATTTCAACCAAAGATGTCTCTCTCAGAGAGTAGTCTATTTACAGCCAACCAGCCCACTCTCCTATATAAGGTTGGTAAAAACTGGCAGCCTCTTCTGGATGAAAGACACCCGAGATAGAGTTGGGTTGGATGAGGCGGGAAGAGAAAAATAATCATCTGAAAGAGGAGCCATGGAGCGGAGAGAGGGAAAGACAAGATATAAAGCCATAATTACAACCTTTGTGTCTTCTCTCGAAAATAATAATTAACGGCACGGTGTGTGTGCCTTAAGAGGCGGGTCGACTGGGCAAGACCGCGAAAAATAGTTTATGTGGAAATTACCGTCAAACGGCCGCCAAGTGAGTTTCCATCATATTTTAGGCAAGTTTAGCTAAGATAACACCAAACGAGAGCACGAGAGCAGGCTGAAAGGCCGGAAAGCGACTTCTCGTACTCGCAATTTGCCTCTCCAGCTGTCATTGGTCAATTCGTTTTTGTTTTTGTTTTGTTTTGGTTTTTTTGCTCCCGCGGTCGTCTCTGTCGTCACGTTGTCTCTGCTAAATCTGCCGAATAGTGCGAGGAGAACAAGCGCGCACTCGAAAGAGGAATATCACTTTCCAGCTGGCGAGAAGATAATAACAAGAAAAGATCAAAAACTAAACAACAGTAGAGATATTTCAGTTAAGTAAAACGCTAAAACATATTGACTGGATTACCTCAGCGTGGCATTGTCCATGTCAAGTATAACATATACCGTATCTGGTACTACAAAAGTTGGAAAATTCGCTGGATAGGATGTCTCCTGCCCATTGTGAAAGGACACTTTCTTACTTAAATTCCATCCCCATGATTGTGAGTTCGACCCTACTAAGGGGATGTAACCGAGGCACTGGAGAGGTGCCTGAGGCGTAGCTATTCCAATGACTGCATTCGATCCCCGTTCGTCTTCTTCCCACGTTATTTCCCACACATGTCGGCCTTGTCTGTAACCTTTCTTCCCTGGTTTAACGAAAAAAGAAAGATAAATCAAGGCTAATAATAAAACCAACAATTCATATTCTACACCTACAACGTAGGTCGGCCGACAAATAAGTAGAAGAAAGAAAGGCTGACTGATTTATTTATTTAGTTATTTTATTGAGTTATTTTATTATTTATCTATTCATTGTATTATTATATTTTGGGGGGCTGCAATGTGGCACCGAAAAACTCTTCGTCCAAGGGGGATGCAAAGTACGGAAAGAAACTCTTCTCTTGGTCCAAAATATATCAGTCTATCCTAGTCTTGAGTATTCAAAATGGTACGTTAACGTTTTCAGAACGTCTTTAGACAAGCTCGAAAAAAAAAAAATTCCGCAAATTGAACAAGGAAGACGAGTTTTCTCAACGAGAATCAGGCTTAGCGTAAAATAGAATTGTTGCACATCCCTAGCTATCTCTTGGTTCTGAACTGCTTTTGAGGAAGAGGAATTTCTTGAATAGTAAACATACCTCTTATGGCGTCTGTAGTGAGAGGAGAGGGCAGTCGTCTAGCTGTCAGCCTGTCACGCAACACTCTGAACTTTGGGGAGCAGTCCTCTGGATCCCAAGCATGCTCAAACTGTTCAGAGGGTATTTGTGATTCCTCTGCTGCTTCACGCAGAGCATCAAGAAGCGCGCGCTCAAAAAGTGAGTTCACCCCTCCCTGACGTACATGAATGGACTGTTCAACACCCATGGTTGCTGTTATGAAGAAAAAAGGAGATGTGGGAAACTGGGACTCAGTATGGCGTCAGTATCACGTGTTTGGAAAAATCCCACCCCCACGAACTTTCTCTCTTGCTCGATGCTTCTGAATTTTCTGATGTTGTCTCTGATTGTTATCCTGAAAAAATGATGTATTGCTAGTTTTGAAGATCATCTGAAGAAAGTCTACGATTGGGTCCATTTCATTCAGAAGAAGAAAGTAAGAGGAAGCTAATTTGTGTTTCAGCCAGTACAAAACACAAAGATTCAAACGAAAGTATTTGTGTGAAAATAACAATTATGTACCTTAAGCACCTTTAAGTGGTCCGAAACTGTTACATATATGTGGTGATGGATTTTATCTTTTAATTATTTATTTAAAAATAGATGTGAAGGGAAGGAGAACCTAACATTGTTCTCTCAGCCCAATGCCCAGAGTTTTTTGCCGACTCCTACTCTCACCAAGAGAGAATAGATCATTCTCTCTTGCTCTCACCAATCCTCCACTGTTTCCAAAATGGAAATGTTTTGAAATGATCTCAATATAACACAGTGCACTAATTAAATTTCTGTCTTTAGTCCATCACGAGTGACATATACTCCTGACTTTACCTTTTAAAACGAAAAAGTGCGCGAAATTATTAGAGTCCTTCTATGAGCATCCAAACTTTGAGCCAAGGGGTTTTCTTTAGGTCCTTTCAGACGGATATTTCTGATACTATAATTGATACTTTAATTGATTTATGGGAGGGAAAAAGCTAACAAAGAGAATAGTTTTTGAAGCGGGCGAGGGGTTAACACATCAAGTCAAACTTTCAAATTTAGATATGCATAACCTCATTGTCATTTCGAAAATCAAACTAAATAGTGCAGAGGGACATGTACAATACCTGCACACTCTCCCGGTTTTCCCTGGAGTCTCCAACTTTTTCATCAAATCTCCAGGTCTCCTGGTTAGAGCACCAAATCTCCCGGATAAAATGGACTTTTGAGCATTTATGTGCTTTAGTTTGAAATATAGCCCTTTTTTTCACAAAATTCGAACTTTTTTTATTCATTGTAAGGTTTCTGGGACATTTTTGCACATATTTAACCGGCAAAGATTAGTTCGTCATTACAATAATGAAAGCGAATTTTGATAGCATGTAGCTCATATAAGACGTCATATAATGTCCTAAGCCATGGCGGCTGGTTCCATTTGTGGGCGGGGGGGGTGGGGGGGGGAGGGTGTTGGTGCTGTTGACATTCGGGGGAAGGGGTAGTGCAAAAATAGAGAGTCTTCAGATTTTAAACCTCTGAAGTTTGGCAGGTCCGATGTACACAGTATGAAAGGGCTTACGAAATGACTGAGAAAGTACATACTCGGCGTGCTATTTCGAATATTGATTTAACCGGCGAACGTATCCTTTCGAGATTTTGATCGCCAAAACAAGTGTTAGCGTGACTTCTAAACAAGTGATCTTTTACTTCCGGTTCAGATCTTGATTTCTGCTTTCGTTTTGTTTCTTGTATTATACCACTACGGTATTTCTATTTCAGTGTACATGTGTGTACGATATTTAAATTTCAATTAACATTGTGTAAATAGTCATTTTACTGTGGACGCTGCTTACATTTCATTTTCGAAATTTAACAATATCCTTTGCAAAAGAAAAATTAAAGCGTAAAATTGCACCTATTATAAACAGGAGCCCTTTTATAAATGATTCCAAGAAAAACTCTTCTAAGGCGGTAAGGCCTAGGTTGAATAATTTACGGTAGGCTATTTTGCCTGTCATATCAAAACAGATGAATCTCTAGCTTTCTTCACTGCGCAAATCAGTACAATTATAGAAACATAGAACATAAAGAAAACGTTTATGTTAATTAGACGTGGCACTGGACGAAAAACGTTTTATTCATTGATTGCTGCACATCGATTAGGAAAAGAGAATAATGAAAGTCATTCTGCTCAAAATCGTCCCTGAAATCTTCCTTCAAGTCTGGCCTGCTGACTGCGGGTTTTCAGCGCAAACACACATCTTTAAGCTAAGGACTTTCTTGGAATAGAAGTCATATTTCAGAATCGCAAAATAAAGTAAAGTTCCCAAATGTAATTGAGCTTCGCTCCTGGTTCCAACTATCTGCACAGGCGCGACCACGCAGACAAGAGAAATTACACTTCACTTTTCAACACTAAATAAGGTTATTATTTCCCCTGTTTACCTAACGTCTAAAATTATTCCTCTTACCTCGAATGCACCATCGAAATTTGAAGCAGACAAGCAAGTGAAAGCTCTACATTTTCCAACGGAGTGAAAATCGAAAGTTGCAAAGCACTTCTTCCGGGATCATTCCCAGACCTCCTCGCCATGGTTGAGTTGAAGGCGTATTCGTTTCCAGGGTTTCCCCGAGAAGGTTGTTGCGCAGAGGCCTATGTAAAAAGACCCTGTCCGCCGAAAAAATGATACCTGTCTTTTTTAATAATTTCTTAATTATGTTTTCATGGTTTCTCTCATATCCAGATTGATTTATTGAAATAACTTAGAAAAGTAATCGGCTCCTGCTTAGAAAAAAAAAAAGAAAAAAAAAATGATATAAATCATTGCTCATTCATTTTAAGAGGCAGTCTCCCTAAAAGCGTTCCACTCGATTTCGGACTCGACAAACTTTTACCTTATATTTTTGCCATCAATACTACTATCCATCCTAATAGCGAAATTGCAGTTAGAATGAGGAAATTGTTTATTTTAGTGCCATTCCCAGCATTTCATTGCTGGACGACCGTTGGCGGCTAAAATATGCAAATTTTAGTCTCTGTTATACGGGTTTTTTAACGATCGTTTAAAAGTACTTCGGATCATCAAATACTAGACTATTTGCACTCATTTGGAAGCATATCGCTTCTTCTTACTGTTCCAATACCATTAAGGCATTATCTTTCGGTAATCAGCAAAAACTGGTCGTCTTTATTTCACTAATCCAATTAAGAAAGCAAAATGCACGAATAAATGCCTCAAAATCATCAGAAAATTCTCCAAAGTGGCACCTAAGTCAGAGCTAAAAACATGTTTTAGTTAAGGATTAATAGCTATTTTGTCAAGTTATGCATTAAAACTTTTGGCACATCGCGATTCAGAATTGAAGCTTTCAACTCAAATTTAGTCAAATGTTCAATTTGAGTTGCGTGACAGTACCGGCCGCTGTCACAGCAAAATCCTCAGTTATTTAAATACTTGCCACTTATAAGTAAGATATGCTTCATTTTCACTCCAAAACTATATTGAAATTCCCTTTTTCCCTTTGCCAATGATATATATTGTTCAAAAATTAGTTCAGGATGTAAAAGATACCTTTCCAAGTTTCATGTAGGGCATGTAGGGTTGGTTGGTTGGTTTATTCATTTGTTTATTTTATTTACTTATTTATTTATTTATTTATTTATTTATTTGTCTGTCGATTCATTTATACTGATTTTTCACAGTGTCAGTGATCGATTCTCGAAAGTTTTCCGTTTATTATTTAACCAGTTTTTCTTGTTATAATGTCTTTGACAAGTTTTGCGTTGACAAAACAATAGATAAGCTTCATGCATGCGTTGATTATATACCCAGGCATCGGCTCTTCCACACCACTATAATTTCTTTTGTGAATCCCTCCCTTTGTAGGATCGTGAAGAAAGCCAAGGTTACCAATTTGGAAGCCGTATTCACTTGCGTCTTCATTGATAAAAGTTTGGACAATTCCGATATTCACTTTCAGCACCTTGGAGTTCCTCAACGCTGGGATAAACTTTGAAACACCTGCCACGATGCGCTGGGCTCTGATATGTTTATCTCTGTCCGAGAGATTGAAATACATTCGGAGGAATGCTGGTTCCAGTTCGCCAGATGAACTTGTCATTGCAATGTTCGTCTCTCGAGCGTACGTCATCATTCCAGTTCCATCACCTTTGTTGCAAAACATACCGAACGGACCCATGCAGAAGAACATCGATGGCAGGTTGGCAAGCTCTTCAGATAGACGCACTTTAACTAATGCCTTGATTCGATTGAATCGTCTCCTAAAAATGACAATATTATAAAGAGAGCAATGCTAATCTTTATTAAGCGATCAAACTCTTTTAGTAGTTGGTTTTTAACGAGAGTCTTAGCGGGCAAAACTGAGGGTGGGGAGAGGGGAGGGGTGGAGCAACCTCGTCCCCAGGGCGCCTTTCCCTGGCTTTGGAAAAGCGCCCTGGGGACGAGGTAAGGGGTGGAGGTCAGGAAGTAGAGGTTAGACTATACGTTACATTTACTTGAGTATAATCATTTAATTATTATTATTATCTCTTTTATTACAGTCCTTATTTGGTGGTGTTCTTTTTGTGCACCAGCCGGGCGCAAACCATGCACCTAGAGCGTCAGTCACTCAAGTCAATCATTCTGTTCATACACTGAGCACCTTTCTGAGGATTCGCGCAGATCCCAGCATGGCTATATTATTATTGTTATTATTATTGCCAATACTCTCAGAAAAAGGTGTAAATCTGGTTTTCATTGGCTCCAGGCAACAACCAGTTGCTAGAGTATTATTATTCTTATTGTTATTATTATTGTTATTACTACTATTTTACATTAAAAGCTTTGTACTTAGCTCGCATTGAAACAGAGGCTTGGCACAAATCAGAAAAGGCCCATTACACTGTTAGGTGGGTAGGGTTCTTCAAAACTTACCCAGGGGTGAGGAAACAAAAAGACACAAACGAACGACGAATTGCAGCATTGTAGCACGCGAGCTATCAGGGATCTCGGAGTGATGAAAGGATAATGCGCAAACAACTGGAGCGCGAAATAACGCGTTAATTCACATCGCTTGGTTCATAGAGCGCCTTTATTGCAGGCTAAACAGCGTCCAAAGCTCTGGACAAAAATCACCAGACCGACGTAAGCTGTCACCCACTAATCCAACCCACTACTCTCCAGTGCAAACTTTACAGTCGCCCAAAATAAGACAGTCAAGTACAAGATTCCTCAAGACATAAAGCAAACACTAAAATTATTAATATATAGATTTAGCCAAGGTTAAAAATCAAAGAGTGCATTTATATACTTTTAATTACTTAAAACCAAAAAATTAAAACGAATAAGCTTCAACCTATGCAAAGAAATCCAAAAATTTATACTTTACTGGTTTTAAAACAAAAAGAGAAAATTATAAACCAAGTTCGATCATAGTAATAGTCTTAGAAAGAATTTTTACCCATAGTTAATAGCCCATGAAATAAATGTTTTATAAAGGCTGGTTGTCATTTACGAATCTCTTTGGCTGCGTCCAGTTTAGGCTTTGGCATAATTTGTCATAACGAGCACAATTTTCACCTACTTTGCCAAAAAAGCACTGCTATTAAAATTTGCACTTTTGGCCAGTTTTGCAGCACAAAATTGTCATTTATTGATTATACAATAATTCTTTTTGACCCGATATCAGTTGCAGGCAAGCAGAAGTAACACAGGAAGCTGACTCTGATTCCACAGGACTCAACGAATGCAAATAACTACAGCTCGGTTACCCACGATGGTGCCCAAGTGCTGGTTTTTACCAATTGTTAATAGGACAATTGCACGATGACGTCATTTTACTACAACTACCAGAGTCCTTGAGTTTGTTTTTTTTTTCTGCAAATTAAGGCTATTGTTCTTTAATCCCCAGCGGGATTGAGAAATTTTAATAACAAAGCAAACCCGAACTGAATTCTGGTAGTTGTAGTCAAATATCGTCATTGTGCAATTGTCCTATTGTTTGAGTTGTTCCTGGGGTGTGACCAAAAAAGCGTGACCAAGCAAGACGCAAAGCTTTAAAAATATATTTCCGATTATTTTGTCGTAAGTCGAAGGCAAGGAACTTTGATCTAGATTTTTACTCGTTGAATTGGATAAATTGGTTGCCCCTAAAATGGTTAATTTTGCGCCAAAAACGAAACGAAATGTACATGTTGCGACTCCCTTCCCTACCCTACTGAGTTTTCTACCCCTCCCCCCAGAGGGTGTAAAGGCGGACGGGCGTACGCCGAGGTCATAGCCAAATTTTTTGTCATCGAGAGGTTACCATTGTCTATGGAGCTTCGCGCGCAAGGACGCTCTACTATTATCTAGCTAGGCGATTAGAGAAGCAGAGTTATTTACCTCGCATTAGTGACTCCAAGCATCTTGTTGAATTTAGAAATGTTATACCATGACGCATTCACGATGATATCAGTGGAAACTCTGACCATATTGCCTTGAAATACGTTCACTGAATCTACCACATACCCTCCATAATCACTGGTTGTTATGCTGAGAGCTTTTGTGTATCTGCGAACTCTAACGGTATCTTTGTGTTGCTCTAGTTGTTGCACAATATACTCTCTCATCCTTGGCCAGTCCAGAAACTCCTCTGCTGTCTCGATACCCATGTGTACCTTTCCAATTTCCACGTCTGCTTCAAATTCATGAGGCTCTAGAATCCGAAAAATGTTTGCCGGTGGGCCAACAACTTCGTAACTCGGGTCTTCCTTTACCATCTTTGAGTATTCTTCTTTGATAGCTTCAAATGTTTCAAGAATATCTCTGCAAGGCACTGTCGAGTCTTTCATAATGAAATACCTGCCTCGACGAAGTGGGTGAGATTGTTGACGGCCGATCTCTTGTCGAAATCGTCCATAACTTCTGAGGAAGTCTAAAGTGACATGCAGATAATATAGAGCTGTATTCTTGTCAGCATAATGGAATCCTAAGCCAAGACGGCCAGGGGTGGCATCACTAGTTTCCCTCATCAATTCTTGATTCTTTTCCAGCAAGTGAATGTTAAATTTCCCAGTTCGGGCCAATTCAAGTGCAGTACAACAACCGCCCACACCTCCACCAATGATAACAACAGTTTGCCGTTTCGTTTTTGTGTCCATTTGCAGTAACTGTAAAGGTGTACTGGTGTACGTGTCAGAACGAACTAGTCTAGCCATATGGGGTTAATTTTTGCTTGCTTTTTAAATGGTGCAAGATTCAATTTCTGTAAAAGAAAACAATTCAAATAGTACGTACATATACATGGAATAAAATTGCTTAGCGGACTAGTGCGCACAACGGGATCAAAATCGTACAAAGCAGGCTCCTGCACAAAGGAACTAACAACCTCGTTCCCAGTGTCCAGGCGAGTAGGAGAAGACACTGGCACTGGGAAGGACTTTGGAAAACTAATGAGATATTACACCAAGTTATATTTTTGACCATTTTTCAAGAGGGATTAAGAACATGTTTTCCTGCTAGGTCTGAACCACAGACAACTTTCATCTTCTTAGACCGTGAATTTTGAACAGTGTGACCCCTTCAGCAGGAACATTGTTGATGATTTAATACAGAGATTTAAGGACCTTTATAGCTAATAAAATACATCTAAGCGAACGTTTATTCGAGAAAAAAGTTGACCTTTTTACCCGAGCCAAGAGCCTTCCCGCAGGCTCTGACTGTCTCGCCTTGCAAGAGTTGAGCCAAAGTGCTTGTATGTCCTATACGGGGATGTGACGATGAACAGACAGTGAACAGAGTATGAACAGGGTATTATTTTTGTCCTCTCTGTCCTAAACAGGGTATATAATTTTGTGCGAGCCTCTCTTTAACAGGGTAATAATAAACATCTGGGTATTGTCTGCACGACTTTTTTGAATTGCATGATGAAATTTGGTTTATACTTCAATTATACAAAAGCAATGACTTTAATTAATGTGAATTTTGTCAGTTGCACTGCCAAGACGGCGTTCATTTTGACCTTTGTCCTATACACGGCTATAAAATTGAGGGTGTTGTCCTGAACAGGGTATACATTTTACTTAGTTTTTTATCCTATGCAGCGGCTCACCTAATACCTAAATATTAGCTGAGGATGCCCTCGGATGGCCTCGTAGGTTAGCCGGTAAAACAAAGCTACCGTAAACGGTAGATCTACTCTTGAAGGTCATTGAACCTCGCTTAACTTTTACGTTATGCGAGACCAAGACCTTTCATGTATTGCTTTTATTTCATTTACGTACGTAAAATTTACGTGAATACAAGCATAAAATTATGCGGTAGCAGAATCCACTCTAAGCTAGGCGTTTGACTTTTGACTTAAGTTCTTTGATCCGCCCCGTGTGCCAGCTTCTTTGCGCGAGGTGAATTTCGCTCACTCTACTATAGCCCTAAGAATAATTTTGGTGCTCTTAAAACCCATTTTTGATCTGACATGACATGACACGACCGAAAATCGGACACGGCTGGGAAATGCATCTGTTAATCTATTGACACCAAAAACTACCTCTCTAAAAAGAGGTGGAGGAGGGGGTTGGGGGTAAGTATGTCCCTTCTCTGAATTTTTCGCGTGTTAAAAAGGGAACCCTGTCCCTGTCTGTATTTCACGACTGTTTTTGCGCCTATATTCGTCGTCGCCACATTTTCAACCCATCTTTGTGTCGTTTGCCGCCATTCTATCAGTCTTATGTAACTGTTTCGAGGCCATCCAGCTGGTTATCGGAATTTCACCATACCAGGGATTAAGCTCGCCTCATGTCAAAGTCTAGCTAGTGTCATTACACGCAGTTAGCTTAGCACGAAATGTCGCGGAAAAGTATAACCATAACAGAAATAATAGAAAAAAAATCTACAGCTCCCAAATATCACTATATCAGATAGTAAATGTCGGTCTTACACCAAAACCAAACCCAATCAAACAAGTTCAGAACTGACACCTCAGTCGAGTTGAAAAAAGTTCTAAGTGTCACAAAACATGGTTTCGTCCTCTGGGCCCAGCAGTGTAAACCAAACACTAGACTTGAGATCTATAAAGCATTTCCGGATCGCTTGACTTTTCTAAATCGACCTATGGTAGTTTAGATTAGCTAGAATCTTTCGATTTAGTGAAATTTGCTGAGAATATAGGACTGCCGGCCATTTAGTGTTTTCAACACTTTGACCCGTTACCGGGGGGGCCATATAGCCACAAAAAATCACAACGTTTTTGCGTCCAGGAATTGGATTTTAGCGAACAGAACAATGCCTACGAGAGTATATTTCATACCTTTGCATGGGCTCCCTAGACATTGGAAATAAGAAACATCAACAACAGCATCGGTAAGAGCATCTTCGGCTGTAAAGCACGTAGATATGTGCTAGATAACATCAACCTAAACCAGATAACTGAGATGAGTAATCGATATGTCAGCGGCGTCTTACAAATGACTGAAATGATCCCCTTCCGCTCACTTGATCGATCGCAGCAGGCTTCTGTCGCAGCGAGGAATGCGATGTTATATATGAGTTAGTTTGAGTTATAAAAGGGTCAATATTGTCGTTTACAGTATAAATTACTAAAAAAAATGTTAAACCTGTAATAGACTCAGCTTTAACGTGGTATAAGACTCTTTACTGAAATCAGAGGTACAAGTTGACGATTTTAGGCTTTAAAATTTGCATTTGTTATTCGAACGAAAACGTTCAAAATAATGAAAAATCTCCAAAATATTACATTTTCGTTCAAACTGAGTAAATCACCACTTAAAATGCGTATAATTATGTACTTTTCTGAGTGAGGTATTTGTTGTTTGTATTACAATTGATTTGATTTTTAAAACGATTTTTTCGTGACACACTGTCTGAGGGAAGTAAAAACTGGTCCAAGAGCCGCGAAACCAACCAACCTCAGGCTTTAAACTTACCCCTCTGTCGTATTGTCATATTTTGATGAATTCAGCGAGAAATTGGACAGTAGATGACTATTCTGTCGTAAATTCCACCCTTCGCGCCTTTTTCTTTTAGGTTTATCTCTTCATGGCTTTTATACAGCATTTACGAAGTCGTTCGCGTTAGAAACCTCGCAGGGTAGCCCATCCAGGTCATGGCGCGAGGGCAGATTACCTTTAATACATCCGGCTATAGGTTGATTCACAGGGAGCTTCCACAATCTGTCTGTGTAACCGATTGTTATTCAGCAAATGTATTGAATTTACAGATTTATCGCCAAATATGTATAAGAAAATTAGCAATTGATTCATGGGTGAGCGTTCGTCGAGATATGAAGAGTAAGAGTTGCTCTCAACTCTAGCCTTTTGAGTGCTCTACGAGCTTCTCAAGTGCTCAATTTATCGACAGCATGAACCAATTGTGTTATAACATTTTCGTTGCAATCAATGTGGAAGTTAACTTAAAATTTCATTACTACTACAGTGCGCGGTCAGAGCGTGTAGTTCACGTCAATGTCTAAGTGACTATTTGTTGTTTTTAACTAATAGTCTTTTCCGGTTTAAAAATGTTCCTCATCTTCAAGCTGAGAGAAAGTTTACAGAAGTCAAAAGGTATTAGAATCCATACCGAGATGGAAAACTATTAATTTGCCGAAAAAAAATCTTTTGAAGGAGAAAACTTTGCAAGGAATGATTTGCACACGCCGGCACAGCTCGAACTAAATGGGCCTATGAAGCAAACTCGCTCTAATTCCGTGGGATGCCTGTGGCACTCCCACGGTAAAAATCCGGTTCGGTTGTACGCAAAATTGCAAAGCCAGCCAATAGGATTGCGTAAAATCTTTATCGATTATCTCTTCTTCCAAGCCGACCAATCAGATTGTACAAAATCTGTATCGATTTTTAATCTGAAGAACGTTGAAATCAGAACGTTCCTTGCCAAATTTGTCGCCGTTGAGTTTTCCCACTCGTGATTTAGGATGGCTTGTTAACCAGCGAAATCCTTCGGGATACTGGCAAGTCACGAAAGGCGACCTAAGCCAAATTATTTCTTCCCTTCATGATTCTTTTTTGTTTAGGTCTAGCTTTTTCATAAGGTTTTAGTAGCGTCTGGTTGCGGTCCGTGATTTCCGATAGATTTTTCTATGCGGAGTTCGCCAGTTTTTGCCGAGCACAGNAGGTTTATCTCTTCATGGCTTTTATACAGCATTTACGAAGTCGTTCGCGTTAGAAACCTCGCAGGGTAGCCCATCCAGGTCATGGCGCGAGGGCAGATTACCTTTAATACATCCGGCTATAGGTTGATTCACAGGGAGCTTCCACAATCTGTCTGTGTAACCGATTGTTATTCAGCAAATGTATTGGATTTACAGATTTATCGCCAAATATGTATAAGAAAATTAGCAATTGATTCATGGGTGAGCGTTCGTCGAGATATGAAGAGTAAGAGTTGCTCTCAACTCTAGCCTTTTGAGTGCTCTACGAGCTTCTCAAGTGCTCAATTTATCGACAGCATGAACCAATTGTGTTATAACATTTTCGTTGCAATCAATGTGGAAGTTAACTTAAAATTTCATTACTACTACAGTGCGCGGTCAGAGCGTGAAGTTCACGTCAATGTCTAAGTGACTATTTGTTGTTTTTAACTAATAGTCTTTTCCGGTTTAAAAATGTTCCTCATCTTCAAGCTGAGAGAAAGTTTACAGAAGTCAAAAGGTATTAGAATCCATACCGAGATGGAAAACTATTAATTTGCCGAAAAAAAATCTTTTGAAGGAGAAAACTTTGCAAGAAATGATTTGCACACGCCGGCACAGCTCGAACTAAATGGGCCTATGAAGCAAACTCGCTCTAATTCCGTGGGATGCCTGTGGCACTCCCACGGTAAAAATCCGGTTCGGTTGTACGCAAAATTGCAAAGCCAGCCAATAGGATTGCGTAAAATCTTTATCGATTATCTCTTCTTCCAAGCCGACCAATCAGATTGTACAAAATCTGTATCGATTTTTAATCTGAAGAACGTTGAAATCAGAACGTTCCTTGCCAAATTTGTCGCCGTTGAGTTTTCCCACTCGTGATTTAGGATGGCTTGTTAACCAGCGAAATCCTTCGGGATACTGGCAAGTCACGAAAGGCGACCTAAGCCAAATTATTTCTTCCCTTCATGATTCTTTTTTGTTTAGGTCTAGCTTTTTCATAAGGTTTTAGTAGCGTCTGGTTGCGGTCCGTGATTTCCGATAGATTTTTCTATG